TGATAGCCGGATACTAGTGGTGACGCGAATACAATATTGTTTAATTACACTAATATTAGTAATAAAAGTTATCTATCACATTTATTCCAATTTGGTATCAGAAACACGATAACCTAGAAGCACAATAAAGATGCCCATGAAGAATTGAGACACTTATGCAACACATGGGAATCTTTATTGAAGAAACGTTTCGCCACACAGTGGCTTCATCAGTCCAATACAAAGTAGAAATGGGTAAGGAGAGTAGAAGTTTGAGGTAATCAGTCCCTCAACCTGGAATCGATGTGTTCAGTCCATCACTCTTGTGATAGACTGAGTATTGTTGAAGTTAGTAATTTAGAAAGACTTATAAGCTGTCTGCTGAATTTAGGTCTTGGATATTACAGTAATTTTTGAGTAATGAATGTTTCATTATGGATAAATTCATTTAGGCAGAATACACTATTGTAGATTTTGTTACAGAATATAAAAGTAAGATGGATTGAAAGCCTAAAAATTAATTAGATTTAATTCCAAAATGACCTAATGAGCTTAAGTTGTTTGTATGATTACTTCAGTCCTTCCTTCTGCCTGAACAGAGTTCCAGAGACCACAGCCCATTGTAGCTGAACATGTACTAAATGATCATAAAGTTAGTTGTTCACTCTGTTAATTGATCAACCAAAATTTTCTGTTCATTGAACAGCCTGGACCATGGCTGGGCTCCAAGAGTAGTGAAACTCTCGAAACTTTTTAAAGGTATAGTGAGGTACACTTTAACAGCTTAACCCTTTCACTGTCGAGACCCCTGCTCACAAACTTGCTCTCAGTGTCGATGAATTTAAAAAATATATATATATTTTTTCTCATGAAATGATAGAGAATCCTTTCCCAATAGTAATGACACCAAAAGTACGAAATTTGATGGAAAACTTATGGAATTACGCTCTCACAAAGTTAGCGGTCTCAGCGATATATTCACATCGGCAATTTTGTCCACTTTGAGCCCTATTTTCGGCCAATTCCATTGCTCCAGTTGACCAAACTCATAGCTATTTCGCTAGAACTTCATTTTTGCTATTGATTGAGTACAAGAAACTACCCATTATCAATTCCAACTACCCAGTAAAGTGGTCAGAAATTGGCAGTTTGGCCAATTTCACACATGTCAGAAGATGCCAATTTCAAAATAGTCCAGAATAAACAGTGCAGACATACCTGGCACTAAAATAACATTTTCTCTGTTCATTAGTCACGTCTCCAGGCCCCTCTTATATTACTCTTGCTTTCCGTTTTGAAATTTTATTCACACACAAAAAAAAGATTTACTGTTATGCAGACTACTGCATTATTGAAATAATTGTATAAATAATGTCAACCCATTCATGACTGTGTATTAATCTGGCCAGTTGAACATGTATTGGACGGTGACATCATTTGTTTGTTCTTGAACATCAGCAAAAATTGAGCATTTCCACTACTTTGAACTCAATTTCAAGGTACTTTTCATCGTAAAACCAATGAACATCATCTCTATTTCTGTAATATATCTTCTATTCTATCAATTGAGACCAAGAAAACGAGAATACACCCATAAATACCATACAAAAACACATCGTAAATTTGGCATTTTAAACCAAACAGTTATTTTGTATTCTCATTATGCACTGCTTGCTGCAGGATTTTTTTTTATGCTGCGCACACTGACCATACAGACCCATTCTCTCACATGTAGGTCTACCAGCTTTCTCCCGCTAGATTTGAAGCCGCTAGAATTTTGTTGTATTAATTCGCCACCGACATTGGCATGTAAGCTGTACCTATACGTCACCGACGGTGAAAGGGTTAAATGGTGTACAATGCTTACCAAGCCAACAAGCTGTCAGAGTTAAAACCTGTTAGACCTCATCACTGTTCTCTTGAAATGTTCAACATAAAGTTGCTGAACTATTATTGTTGCTAATATGATCATTCAGCAGCACTATTTTCAGTGTGCTGGCAATGTTTACTCCCAGTTAGAAATTCAGAGCTGCCCATCATTTAAATTTAAATTTCAAATTCAAATTTATACATGCATGATAAAAAAGGATTTCTGAGCAACTTCACAAAGTTCACTTTTGACTTTTGAGGTCATCTCGCCAGTATTTACAAGTGTTCAGCTGGTGTTATGGCCATCCAGCAAGTTACTGCATGTCATTTAGAGTGCCTCAAGGTTAAGGACACACATTGATCACTCCTGTCATCACACTTGTAACTATTTTGAGGGGCATCCTTCTTGTTTCTCTCAGTGTTCATCTTCACTTGAAAATGTGACTCCCATACTATATTTGGAGGAGAGTGAGGGTATGAAATATATCCAGGCTTGAACCTTCACAAGCAAACCAGATAGTAACCACCTATTCCACACACACACTATCTGTCAGGCTAGGCTTTAAATCCTCCAGTAACATTACCTTTCTAGAACTATTATCCTTCACATGTTATGCATTTTGACCTTTCCTGAGCCTGGCTACCAGTTTCCTTTATAATGTGTATGTACTTGGTTTTTCACCAGATGCTTTAATGCAGGTGAAGGGCTCTTGATCCAAGGAACTGGACATATCCTCTCATTCCTTAGATTGAACCTGAATGGCTCCTGTTTCCCAGGAGATATATGATCCCTAAGGGTTTAGCACTTCTTCCCGATTACATTAAACACAAAATAGTGTGATCCCTAACACTGTCTAAAATGTTTATTAACATTAAAGAAAAGTTGAACACAGGTTCTTAGTTAACAAAGTTGAACACTGGTTCCTAGGTAACAAAGTTGATCACAGGTTCCCAGTTAACAAAGTTGAACAATGGTTCCTAGGTAATAGAGTTGAACACTGGTACAGATATGCTAGAAGAATGTTTGGAGCTGTTACAAGATAGATGATTGGTATTTATACATGAAATTTCTGCACTTCATAATGTGGATGATTGATTGTTGGATTTTACCTGGGTTTAGTTTTTGCTTTTGTTGCTGTAAGTCCAGGATTCATCCAGGATTCATCCTGGACTTACTTAGTCACAGGATTCATCTTGTGTTAGTGTAGAATGTAAAATCCAGGATTCAACCTGTATTTATGTAGAATGTAAAGTCCAGGATTCATCCAGTACGTATTAGTGAAGAATGTAAAGTCCAGGATTCATCCCGTGTAAGTGTAGAATGTAAAGTCCAGGACTCGTCCCATGTTAGTGTAGAATATAAAATCCAGGATTCATCCCGTGTTAGTGTAGAATGTAAAGTCCAAGAGTTCTTTCGTTAAACTTTGATCCATGTTCTTCCCTGCTTCTACCTCGTCATATTCCTTGATTGTTTAAGTTTTTATAAGTTCTGGGAGCTTGAATTGGAAATCTGAGATACCTTGTATTTGGCAGTAAAACAATAGCAGTGGATGTTTTGGTCACATTCGTATAGATGAGTGCCCTTCTTTCTTTTGGTTGTCAGAGGTTATTTAGGTGGGTTTATACTAAGTTTTAGATAAGTTTGTGTTTCCACAAACTGATCTTAAAATCTCAGCTGTATTATTTGTGGTGACTTACTTGGGCTGGGAGATTGTTGTAAAGGTGGAGGTCTTGTAAGCATGACTTCATCATGCAAGTGAAACTTTCTTTCTTTCAACACACCGGCCGTATCCCACCGAGGCGGGGTGGCCCAAAAGGAAAAACGAAGGTTTCTCCTTTTACATTTAGTAATATATACAGGAGAAGAGGTTACTACTAATTGTTGAAATGTGGCAAGTAGCAGTTTATTGCTCTTACTAGAAATTACTGTATTTTACCTAATACATGCTTTGCATTAAATGTTGTAAGAATGATGAAAAAACTAACTGCATTTTACATGGTCAAATATATAAGATAGATATTTTCAAGTTTGGAAATTTATGTAAAAGTTTAAAGATGGATTTTGGCTGGGTCATGTACTTTTGGGTTTTGAAAATTCTTGTTGGTTTCAGAATAGTGACTTTTGTCACTCTCTTGCATTTGTCCTCCTCTCATTTTCATTTTTCATCCTCTTTCTAAAACTTTTTTTTTTTTTTTGTGTGTGGGATTTTGCAAACAAAAGCATCAGAATATTCTTGAAAAAATGTGGGGGAGATAAATTAAGTTAGATTTAAAACATTTAAAGGTTTAAATCTTATTTAACTAGTTTATTCTGATGTTTTAATTTTTTTTTATTCTGCCCCAAAGAAGTACAGTATGTCTTAATTTTTTAATACTTTAACAGCCTTTACTATTGAGTGAATTTTTATTTTATATTAAACTAACGTCACAGTTTCCCAAAATTATTTGCTCATTTATATTTTCCTCCAGTGTGTGTTTACCATTATAATATTGATCACTGAGAGGTGTGAGCAACAATGCCTAGTTCAAGATGAAAGTTTCCTGGTCTAGCTCTAATACAGTAATAGTCACACTGTACAGTAATAGTCACACTGTACAGTAATAGTCACACTGTACAGTAATAGTCACACTAAATACAGTAATAGTCACACTAAATACAGTAATAGTCACACTAAATACAGTAATAGTCACACTAAATACAGTAATAGTCACACTAAATACAGTAATAGTCACAATACAGTAATAGTTACACTAAATACAGCTGGAATGGAAGCTATCTAAGGTGATTCTCTAAGGGAGTTGGGAACACACATGCAGTGGGCAAGAAATGCATTTCATGGTTGCAGTTGTTAAAACTAACAAAAACTAACCATAAAATTTCTATTTAGTTATCAATGTAGATGTATAACTATGGAAGAAGGATTTTTTTTTCTGCATGATTGAGAATAATGGATCCTTAAAGTTATGACTTGGCCTGTACTGACCAGAACAAAAATGGAGGCTTTGTAAATATCATCAGTGTTGATCTTGTGTTATAGGAGTGTTTTAGTATTAGATATAGATAAAACCTTAAAAATATTTTAGAATACAAAAGGCCAGGTGATGTATCAGAAAAAATACTCACTTTTACCCCGTCTTCTCCCTCACCCCAGCCCATGCCTTCGACTATTACGGTAAGTGTTAGTTTTCTACGTGGAACTCTATCCCCCCCAATGTCAGTAACTAAAAGCAACAACAACAAAAACCTTCCTTATAACCACACAGTTTCCGCTCCTTCTCTGCTTTAGCTTATTCTATCCTAATTTCAGTCTCCCTTTTTTTTTTATGTAGGTTTTTAAGTTAGCTTCTTGCTTGCAGAGTATAGCTACTTGTAGTCACTATTATTATTTTTTCCTCTTGAGTGCTACATGAGCATGATGACATTTTATGTAGAGTTTAAAATGTTTTCAGTACGGATATGCAAACCTCAGCTTTGTTAAGTGTTGAGTTTCTAAGTGTAACGAATGTTTATGTATTGTTGTGAGTAGTGCTTGTCTTGCCTTCCTGCTTGTTTTCCTGCAGCGTACCTTCCTGAGTGCCCTCGACTGAGCAGTTGTTGTGGAGTAATTGTTCTCTAAACAATATAAACCAGTTTTGTTTGGGGCATTATTTTATGTGCCTGCTTGCTTAGACGAGTTCTATTTTTTAGTTTTAGCAAATTATGTACATGCGGGACCCTGTGACCTCATTGGACCAACCACATGGAGCCCAATAACCTCATTAGACCTCCCATGTGGAACCCTGTAACCTAACTAGACAGTCGTGGACTTGCCAGGCTCGTGAGGTATCTCCACCTCACTTACTATGTACCACCCTCACCCCTTCATTGCTTGTCAATAAGCAGACTTTGGACTGAAAGACGCATGTAACTTGGCCTTTCCTATATCAATATTTTGCATAAATTTCATTTAGTTTTAGCTTATTTTGTTTGTCTTAAGTTATAAAGTGAAGATTAAAAGTGACTCAATTTATTGTTTTTATTGCTGGCTTTATCTCTTGATTTGTATTTTCATAATTTTGTGCACTCAAATACACCAGTGTGTTTAATGTTGAAAGACCATGTAACATTTTGGGGTATTTTGAGTTCTTATTCAAAATTTGTTGTAATATATGTACATTGCATACAACAAACACTTTGAAATACTAGATATTAAGATACTTCTTGGTTATTTAATGCCCCAAAATAATTGTACACAAGACAGATTTGACATCTTCCCATATACAGCTGAATGCCTAGATAACAAGGAGCAACCATCTGATTCATGCTGAATATGCTAATAAAGCTCATTCTCATTATTAAGTAATAAAAGTATTGAGCCTTATAGCTAGTGATGAGTCTGGGTGGAAATTGTATTCCTTGAATAGTTAAGACCAAGTAGAACCCAGAGGCTTACATCTCCATAGCCATGTCAGTGTCAGTTCAGTGTGTAGCTTTGGACTGCCTGCATACCATATAAACCTACTCTGTAATATTTCTTAGTGTTTAGAAATAATTTTTGAGAAATATTATTTGCTTGAATTGTTTTTAGTTGAATTTTCATTGTAATTCAAAACAAAAGCAACAGTAACTTTTGAGAGCATTTCCTGCCAAATGCAAATCTGTGTGCCACCATTTTTTGTTTTCTGTAGAATTTAAATATTTAAAAAAATTAGTTGACATTTTTGCCTGTACACTTTTGCCTTTTGCTTGATTAGTGTCCCCCTCCTTGCCTCCCCCAACACTTTTTAAATGTTGCCCAAGTGCCATATAGTTTTATTTGCCTCCTGGATTCTTTGCATGACTGTTCAAGATGTAGACGTTGTACAGGTAAATGATGCAGATAAAGTGCCATTTGTAAACTGTTGTCAGTAAAGGATATGACGCATGAGCACTTAGGAGAATAAAGATGAGAACTCTATGGCAGGAGTACAGTATATTCATGTCTATTGATTGGTGCACACTTTATAAGTTCTTTGTTCCAGTGATCAAGACCCAAATTCTGGACTTTTATGGCACTGTTGTCATAATGGAATGTTGGTATCAAGTTTAGTAAGGATTTTCCTTGAAATGTATTATTCAGAGTTGTTCATAATTTTTCATAATTTGGGCCTGCACCCTTGTCTCATTACTCAGAAGAAAGATTTCTTTATAGCGACAGAAATAGCTTGGGAACCACAATAATGGATACAGAACCTTTGCTTCCTTCCTGGACTTGTGAATATCATCTGAGCCTCGTAGTATCTCAGGGTAGTGGCCTCGTGTCTGGGTTAATTCCCAATGAGTTAAGTCTTGGTTGCACTGTGGATTTGCAATGATTGTTTTAGTAGGCCCTTGGTCTAAATTTGTTTTTTTTTCTTTTTTCCCAATTCTAGGAGATGGAATCTTAGCTCAAATTCGATCTAAATACCACAGTATGCGTAAGTAAGAGTATGGTTTGTGAATTTTCCTAATTGTTAATCTTTTTCAATGTATTGCTTAGTTGCTTGATAACCTATGTTGAGGTAGAGAGGCATTAAAGCCATTACCATGTAGCTTGGGCTGTCAAGGAATGAACACAAATGCTTGTGTCAAAAGATGAGACGTTGATAAAAAGAACTTTCACAGCTGTAGTTATTTTAATTTATCTTTTTTATTTATTTTATATTTTGATGGATGCATTAATGAAGTTGCTGTTAGATAAAAAAGTTGGGTTAATGACTGCTTGTCACTGAATAATTCTTCACTTTATTGAGTTGTAGCTTATTAATTGCTCCACATACGAGCTATATGGAATTTAATCTGCTTGTTAAGATTTACAAGTGGTCCACTCCTATTCATAAGGTTCTGTATCCTAATGACTGCTATCGCTTACACACTCGTGTCGTCAATAGTTTCCTGCAGTCTCGTTATAGTGCATGAGGCATGCGACGAAAGGTAATACACCAGTAATGTTCTCATGTTCTGTCCACGTAGGCTTGTTCAAAGCTGAGATGCTATCGGCTTGCACGTCATCCTTCAATCATTGGCAAATATATTTTTATCTCATATCCACTGTGCCATGTGTTGTTTATATGCATCAAAAAAGGAATTGTAGACTAAAATTAACACTTTTAAGATCCTGTTGTACTGCTGGTTTTTCATGTTAGTAATTAATGATTAACACCAAAGTTTGTGATCAAAGGTTAACATTGTAAAGAGTTGTTTGTGAACTGATGTGGCTGTGAGGATGTTCGCTAACAGCCCACCATGGAGGTAGACTGACTTGGTCTTTTTTTCTTCCCCCCCCTCTCTCCTATACCCAGACGAATATAATCTAAACCCAGCGCTAGAATGGGATGATGAATTCACAGGTAGGTCCCATGCTCTTGGCTGCTTCTGCTACTGCTGCTGATGTTGTCATGGATGCCAGCTTTGCTTTATTCTTCTTTATCTATTCTTCACATATGTTTTGCTATTAATGTTTGTGGCTCTGTCAGAGTAAAATTTTGATATTTTATGTATTAGTATGTTCAAATTTTTTTTGGAATGTATAGGTGATCAGGGCAAAAATTTCTTGGTTCTTTCATATAGTATTTTTACCCACTTAATTTTAAACAATTATTACTCTCTAGCTAGATGCATTTTACCATGGGTTGAGAGTGACCAATAAACCTTTTGCAAATGCAGATTTTTGGAAACTGAAACCCACCAGTGTTATTTATCCACACATTGCTTGTATTTTTTGTATCACCCATTATGAGTTCTGCGACATGCTTGATGCTTTTATTTGACCTTGCTTGTTTTCTCATTTGACACGACTGACGCTGCCAACTGTAAAGCCTAGACTAGACCCCTGGTTATTACAGGCTAATGTGTTGTATTTATGTGTAGAAGTCTTATACCAAGGCTTGTTAATGAAGGTATAAGGGACTTTAAAGAGCAACTTCACTTATTGCTTGGCCTTGGTGAATGGGAAATTGACAGCCCTCATAGTAGTAGTATATGAGGAACTAGAGAGTACTGTAAGTTGCTTATACTAGTGTATAATTGTAATATTGCAACTTTGATGTTGAGGCCACTGACAAGTCAGAGATAATTACCAGGTAGGGTGTAACTTGCCCACTCCCTCTGATGACAGTAGTCCACTTGTATGAATTCAAGTGTAAGCATGTACTTAATATGTTAGGATGGGGTTGCTAAATAATATAAAATCTGCTCCGTGACTAACTCTGGAAGGAACGTACTTGGTGGCATCATTGCTTTGGTGCCAACTCACGATGGCTAATGATATATTATTTCAATTTTTTTTTTATTTTGTAATTTAAAATTTTAAGTGCTTAGCTTGGACTTTAAGCAATGATTACATCACTTTAGAGAATCCTTAGTTGATATGCCAAGTAATATGGGAAAGTCCCATAGCACTAGAGCTGTACTGGACAATTCTTTCTTGTCAGTGTGTAGAGGAGAGTGCATGCTTACTTCGTTTATTGGCTTTATTTGGTGGCATAGTAGAAGAGATTCATGTCAATTCTTATCTTAGAGTATATAAAAACCACTTTTAAAGTTATGCTTGTTACTTGTCTCATTAGTGATGCTACTCTGGCTTTGATGTAAATTAACTGTTTTGAATCATGCACTTTTCTTTAGGTAGGGTAGAGATTTTTTTTCTTTATAGAGATGTGAAGAAAAAAGCATTTATGAAGTGCTGATAAAATAAAATTACATTTTTATATTACAGTATCTGAAATATAAATAATACACATTTTTGGTTTGCTAAAATAATAAGTCACAATTCCATGGCAGATCAGTTCACAACTATCCCATCTTTTTTTTTTTTTTTTTTTTTTTTGCGAGGAAACCTGAGACACTTAGGTCTGTCCTGCACCACTGTCAAGTGACAAGTGATCTTGGTTCAGGACAGACTGAAAACACTGTCTGGAGAGTCCTCTCCATTTGTGGGTTAGTTAATTGGTCTAATAATGCATGGATAAAAGTTGTCTTTGTGCTAATTTTGAGAGAGAGTATTAATTACTATGAAGTTAATAACAATTTTCCCATCCCCCCTGGTTGTAGTAGATAGTTTAGCATCAACACTGTATTTGATGATGTCTCTATATTGTCTAAGGTGGTGCACCTGGGAACTTATGTTGATGTAAGTGTACAACTTTGTAGGTGTTTAAGGTGGTGTACCTGATGTCACATGTTGTTGTACATGTACTAATTTGTAGGTACTTATGGTGATGCACCTGGTGACACATGTTGATGTACATGTACTAATTTATAGGTACTTATGGTGATGCACCTGGTGACACATGTTGATGTACATGTACTAATTTGTAGGTACTTATGGTGATGCACCTGGTGACACATGTTGATGTACATGTTCTAATTTGTAGGTACTTATGGTGATGCACCTGGTGACACATGTTGATGTACATGTACTAATTTGTAGGTACTTATGGTGATGCACCTGGTGACACATGTTGATGTACATGTACTAATTTGTAGGTACTTATGGTGATGCACCTGGTGACACATGTTGATGTACATGTACTAATTTGTAGGTACTTACGGTGATGCACCTGGTGACAGATGTTGATGTACTGTACCTGGTACTCTCTCATATTAATTCTCCAGCATTTCCTGCCTAGTATAATGAGAACCAAGACTTGTCTCACATAATGTATATAGAGTTGACTCTTTGTGGTAGTACCAGGGATACTGGTGAAGGACTCTTCACTCAGAACAACCTTCGATTTTCCTTGCATTAAACTTAATTGACTCTTAACTATTAAACTGTCCAAACAGATCTACGTTCACATGCGTAGTGCTCCAAAAGTAGATCTACGTTTTTTTTACATATTTTCAAATATAACAAAAAAAAATGTAGATCAAAGTTTTTTTTACACATTTTCAAATGTAAAAAAAAGAAAGGTCTATGTTTTTTTACATACTTTCAAATGTTGAAAAAACGTAGATCTACGTTTGGACAGTTTAAGGGTTAATGCTTCCCCATAAATATAATATTTGTAATATTTGTATTCTTTAGGTGCTGTATTACACTTGTGGGTTTAGTGCTTCCCAGTGATGATAATGTATAGAGGTGAACTTAAATTAACATGGATATGTCTTTAATAACTCATAAAACCTTACATGATAACAAGAAAGTGTTAGCAAAACACACTCCATTTTCCTTCGAAGAGTGGAACCTTGATGCTGGTGAAGGGCTCTTGATTCAAAGAATAAGAGTTGCTCTCCTTTTTCATTGATCAGATCTGTTTGTCACTTACCCAGGATTATAATACTTCATTAACAAATACAGCCTCCCCTCACTTAGCGACATTCTCGTTTACCGACAGCTTGGACTTAGGACGGTCTCTCTGACCAGTATGCATACTTAAATATTAGAACTGATTTCCTCTATTCTGTTTATTACAATATGCAGTCACTACTGTATAAACATTTAAAAAATACCAGAAATGCTATAAATTGTGCAAAGGTGACACTAAAACAATATCAAAGATGCTGAGGTCAGTGGTCAAGAGAGGTCATTCTGTCCTAAGGTGTCTGGGGATTAGTGTGGGGTGTTACTGAGCACCATGGTTTGAAGGAAATTCTACTTCTTCAGGTGGAAAATAGGAGGCTGAAACTTCACATACATGGGTTTGGGAGTGAGTGAGAGATGGTTGGATCTGGTAAGGAGGAAAAGGTTACCAGTAGTGAGTTGGAGAGTGGCAGCCGCTTTAAATGGCAAGTGGTTCAGAATTCGGGAAGAAGCGTCAAAATAAGGAAGGCTAATAAAGATGATTTGGGGTAGGAAATCGATTCTCTGTTCTCCAGGACTAGTGTACTTCAGTGGTTAGTGAGGTTAAAGGTACCACTGACTCCCCTGCTATTCAAGGTAAGAACATTCTGGTTGTGGGAGACTTCCAGGTATGATATATGGACTGTGCTTTTTGTAACACAAATAGGAAGGCGAGACAGTGTGTGTTTCCCAGGAGCTGGAGTTAGTGACATAGTCAACAGGTTGGGTAATATTATGTCAGGTAATGGGAACAAGTCCATTTTCTGTCTTAGTGCTGGTGGAAATGACATTGGGAAGGGCAGGAGACAGGAGCTGCTGGGTAAGTACAAGTCTGCCATAAATGTAGTCAGGTCCCAATCATATGTAGCATTTTGCCTAGAAAGGGAGTAGACAATGAATGGATGTCTAGGGCAATTGGTATAAATTGCTGGCTAGACAGGTACTGCAACGAACTTGCAATCCCATTCATTGATAACTGGGGCAAATTCTATGGCAAATGTGATATGTATGCAAGGGATGGGGTAAATCTCTCTGGGACTGGAGTGGTTGCATTAGCCAACTCAATTGAGGGGGATATTGCTGACTTGTCTAGGACTTTAAACGGATAGATTATAGAGGTACTGGTGTGTGGGAAACAATCAGACTGCAGTACTAGAGTTGATAACAGTAGATATTACTAGGATATCTCAGGGATATGTTTAAAAGACAATATTCAAAATAAAGTTGCTAGTAAAGGCAAAGCAACTGATCAACAAGCAGAGACAGTAGAGGGCAGCAAGTGACTAGGTCCCTTAAGGTTTATTATACTAATAGTAGGAATCTAAGAAATAAGATAGATGAGCTAAGATTACTTTCAAGTGCAGGTAATATAGATATTATTGCTATAACAGAGACCTGGTTCAACCTGAAAGATAGAGAAATGCCTTCTGAATGCAACATACTGGGCTATAAACTATTCCATACTGATAGGGTCAACAGGAAGGGTGGTGGGGTGGCAATGTATGTCAGAGATAATATAAAGTGTTGTATTAGACAAAATATAAGATTAGAAACATCGGACACAATCTGTTTGGCTACAGTTTCTCAAGGACCATGAAAAATTCATTTTGGGTGTGATTTATAGGCCCCCAAACCTTGATAGGGAGTGCAGTAAGTTGCTATGGGACAAAATTCATAAGGCATCTAGATATGAAAATGTTGTGGTACTGGGAGATTTTAACTTAAGACTAATTGATTGGAACAACATGACAGGAAATCTTGAGTCTAGTGACTTTCTTGATATGGTTCAGGATTACTTTTTAAAACAGTGACAGAACCAGCTAGAGGAAACAACCTGCTTGACTTTGTTCTTGCAACAAAGAATCACTAATAAAGTTGGTAGAATTACCAACAATATGTAAAGTAAAAGGACACAAGTGCAACTGTGACATTTTAACTGTGGCAATGTTTTGCTCTCCAGGAGCTTTGTCAAGCGGTTACCGCTTGACAAAGCTCCTGGAGAGCAAAACGTTGCCACAATAAAAATGTCACATTAGTGGCACTTGTGTCCTTTTACTTTACAAAGAA